CAGCAGTTCAGTAATTTCCTTTTCCTGGAAGAACAGGAAGGAATGCAACACTATTTTAGCCTCATGTTGTTAAGAAAGTATTATACTGTGAACAACTGCTCCTCCAAGCAAGTAACTTTGGACTAAATGATCAAGTTTGATTCATTCACAGTTAAAAAACTAACACCCAGCACCACTCAAAAAAACCCCTACTTTAAAAATCTGTGAAATTAGAATCTAAATTTAGAAGGGTAAAACATCACTAACTTAAGTGTGGAGAAGGATTGGAATTAAAGGTACAGAAATTACCTGGAATTTACACATGAAATAGACAACTTTATAGGAAAGGGCTACAGAATATCCGATACTCAGATGTCCAAAGGGAGTTTATTATCTGGCACCAAAAAAAAAAAGAACAGAAAGAAAATCAACTGATAATAAAGAGCTCTATCACACCCATAGGACTGATGACAAAGGAGACAACATAAGTCACTCTCCATCAGCTGCCCTGCACAAAAGATGGAAAGAGAAGTAACAAATTAACACTTTCAATCACCATCGTTGTAATGGAAGAAAATTACATCAAAGCACAGAAATGCATATTGGAATGCAATTGTACCACACTGCAAACCTACCTGCTGTCATTACGGGCTCAGACACCCTCTGCACCAGGAGATCTCCTTCCAGCATCCAAGATGGAAGCACTCTCTTTCTTTGAATAGATTTTGACTGTTCACTGTCATTATCGTCAGAAAGAGGAACCTGAAACAATATTTACCTTTAATATTTAAAAGGTACTGTTTAGTACCTTTATCCAGTTACAAAAGAGGGGAGGAAACCAGATCATAGTTTCTACACAGTTGCAGCCTGGGTGACCACTTACTTTTTTTTTATAGTTCCTACTCACTCAGAAAAACAAAATCTATAGAAACCCTCTTGCAGTAGAAAATCCCCTCTCCTTAGACCTTTGGAATAAATATCTACAAGGCTACAAACTGAAAGTTTCATAGAAGAGCTTCACCAGCACCTTGCTCTAGAGTTTCCACACACAGACATAAGAGAAAGAGCAGGTTTAACAAATGTCTCTTTGTCCAAAAAACCCCAAATAATACAAACAAAAAACCCACAAACAGAAAAGTCTTGCTAAGAATTGTAGGAATGCTACTTGCATTCCTGCAATTCCCTTCTCCAGAATGCAACCAGACTCTAAATCCCGTCTGCAAAAACAATGTAAATACATCAAAGTCACATTCATTATTTTCTGAAAGCAGCACTATCACACTGAACCTCCACTTACTGACAGACAAGTAAGTGTCCACCTCAGGGATCTCAGCTACAACAAAGGTTGACACTTCATTTGTCGTGTGCAGTTGTTACCTGCTGTACCCCAGTATTGACCAATGTGTGGTTTTAGCACTGGATACACAACAGATGGTGTTTAACAAAAATCCCACCAGCTCCCCACACTATTTATCAGACTGTCTGAAAGCCACTGGACTTGGCAGTGTTTAAAAAAAAAAAAAAAAGACAAAAGATGCTCACTTTGAAAACTGTTTTACTGGACAGCCAGGGAAACACTGGGGAGTTGTTTATCCATGTGTTTGTATGGATCTTGACAACACAACTCCATCCCAGCTGACAATCCAAATGAAACAGGCTGCCAGGACACTACAAACAGATATTACTTATAGCCAGTCCAAGACATCCACAGTCCAACTCCAGGCTCTCCTCTCTCCTCTTTCAGAGGCTTTTGGGTTGGTTGGAACAGTCATTCATTCCCCCAGGCCTTCACAGGTACTCAGGGGCAGTTACTGATATGGACCAGAGACCAGAACTGGACTTTGTTCTGCAGTACTCAGCTCCAGCATCAAGTCCAAAACACTCCTGTAACACATTTATGTACTTGCACAGCACACAAATTTTGAGCAATCAATTTTGACTGCAGTAATTTACCTCTCGGGGGGGAAAAAGGGTATAGAAAGCATAACACCTTTGTAATTTTCAACACACACAAATAATGAATTTCATTAAAAAATTAAGCACCCACCAGATGTCTAGAGGCAGCATCATAATTTCTCATTTTTGCAGCTCCCTGTACCTCAGAGCTGGAATGTGACGGTTCCATTAACAATGGAATACAGGACATCTCAACAGCATGAACAGTTGGTGCTTCTTCTGCATCAGCCTCTTGAGTTTTTTCTGATAAAGCAAAATATATTTTAGGTACTCACACATCAGAAATATAAACATGCACTTTTGACTCAAACACAAAAGCTGGTCTGTATGTTTGTCACTAATAAATACACTTTGAAACTGAACATCAACATCTTATTACACCAACTTACAGAGGAAATAAACATGCCTTTCTTTCACCTCACACCTAAAGTATTTTGAACAAAAGACTCTCTAACCACTCCTGGCCCCACTGCTGTAGTGTTTTAGGGTTTAAGGACAGAATTTACACTGGTCACTGCCATGACAAAACTTTGAGAAAGCTGAAATTACAGCTCAGAATTTGCTTTACTGTGAATCTGCACAATTCCCCAAACTCTGGTTCTACACTAAATGTCAGGCAATGACTTTAAGATCTGGTTTTCAGGGTTAGATGCCCAATTAATCCAGCACCTTCTGGCAAGTTCTCACTACAGGCTACAAGTCTGCAGCTCTCAGGTGCCACCAGCCACTTGGATGCTGGTTTCAAAAGCCCAGTTCAGAGCCACCACATCCAAAATGCTTTTTAAGTTGTGAAAATGCACCCAAACTGCAATTGTTTTTCCTTCAAGACTTTGCCCTTCCACTACTCAACTCACTGGCACAAAGCATTAGGGAAAAACAAGTCTTAATTGCTGCTGTATTCCCTGCACAGCCACGCTGGGGAGTCACTGCCACCCGTTCCTCAGCTCTCTGCACTCCAGGGAAGGCACCAGCTGAACTTTCTCTTCATCACCTCATGAAGAGAAGCGTGAGAGGCCAAGAGAAGACAGGCCAGGCTCTGCCCAAAAAGGCCCCTCCAGAGGCTGCTCGGGAGGTTTTGGCTCTCCAGGGGCTCACAGAATAACCGAAAGGGTCAGGAGGGAAGGGACCACAGTGGGTCATCTGGTCCAACCCCCCTGCTCAAGCAGCGTTATCCCAGATGACGGGCACATGGCACAGGATTGCATCCAGACAGTTCTGGAATATCTCCAGTGAGGGAGACTCCACAACCTCTCTGGGAAACCTGTTCCATTCACACAGTAAAGACGAACTCACACCGTGAGTTCTTCCTCACTTTCACTTCCTGCGCATCAGTTTCCGCCCGTTGCCTCTTGTACTGTCGCTCTGCGCCACCGAGCAGAGCCCGGCTCCATCCTCTTGGCACTCCCCCTTACAGTTATTTATACACATTAATGAGGTCCCCTCCCAGTCGTCTCTTCTTGAGGCTGAACATCAGCCTCAACATCAGCCCTCTCATCCCTTCACCCTAAGAGAGATGCCCCATTCCCCCAGCTATCCTCGCTGCCCTCCGCTGGTCCCGAGCGCCCCCCGCCACGGACCCGGCGGTGCCCCGAGCCCGGACACGGGGCCGCGGTGCTGCCTCTCTAAACCCCAGCGGACACGACCCATCCCGGCCCTGCGAGGGGGTGTCGCTACCTCGGGCCCGCGGCTCCGCGGGGCCGGGACGGGGATGGGGACGGGGCCGATCCCGATCCCGGCAGGAGCCGCCGCCGCCTCCTGATGACGCGCGGCCGCCCCGTGACGCGGCGAGGTGCCGGCTCCGCGGGCCCGAAACCGCGGAGATTCGCCCCCAAAGAGGCGAGCCAGTACCCTCCCCACCCAGACGGCAGGGACATGGCAAGTGGACACCCAGCCCCGGGCGCTGCCGCCCACGGCCGCCCCAACACACCGCGACAGCGGCCGCGGTGACGCCGCCCCGCCCCGGGGCCGCGGGGATGGACGCGGAGAGCGCCGGCGGCCGAGACAGCGCTGCAGGAGGAGGACCGGGAGGAGGAGGAGGACAGGGGGACTTCGTGTCCGCCCTCCCTCCCGAGGTGAGCTCCCGGATTTTCGGCGGCCTGGACGTGGAGAGCCTGTGCCACGCGTCCGCGGCGTGCAAGGGCTGGCACCGCGTCATCGAGGGCAACGAGCGGCTGTGGCGGCACCACTGCCTGGCCGTGCGGGCCGTCTGCCGGCGAGAGATCGACTGCGACCGCGGGAACGGCTACTCCTGGAAGGTAAATCCCACCTCGGGAACACGGCGAGACTTCCAGGTTGGGAGGTGGGAATGTGGAAGGAAATTACACCGGCGCGTCTCGCCCCATCCCAGGGTGATGGGGGCAGAGGTGTGGTGACAGCGCGGCTCCGTAGCCGGACAGCTGGTAAAATGGACTGAGAAGGAAGGCAAGGCTGTATTCTTTTTCCTACTCAGGCTGGCCTTTTTCCTGCCCAGGCTGTCCTTTTTCTTGCCCAGGTCCACACCTGTCACATCCCGGTTATTCCTCACCCTGCTCTGCACAGCCTCAGCGCTGACCCTCGTCCCAGCAAAGCCGTAACACGGGACAAAGCCCATGCAGACAGGTCTGGGAAGGAGAAGATAACATAACGCTGACTAGGCAATGTGTGCTCTCTGTTTTTATTTCGTGGGAATAGGTGTGCTGGTTATGAATGGCTTCCTGGAAAATCATCCTGGATAGCTCTGCCTCGATACACCTTGAGCGACAGGCATCCAGGAGAAAAAAAATTTGGGGTACGGAAAAGAAAACAAGCAGGAGCTTTTAAAGGCTGTTTTGAAAATCTCCCCTAACACAGTCCCAGTTACAGGTGGTCTGAAGAGTTAGGGGCAGGTTCAGCTCCAGAACATACTGGATGATTTCTCACTGTTGAATCCAGCCTGGAAGCTGAGGTAGATCAGGAAAGGATCTGGTAACAGGTTCCACAGGGTACTCTGGGCCAGGTGATTCCCCCACCCTCAACTGAGCTGGTGTGTTTAAGAGTGGGGGGGCAGTGAAAGGGTGAAAGAGAAAGAAGCAGCAGCAAAAGAAACCAAGGAAGCCACAGTTCTGGGCTCTGACATTTCAGTAGAGTTGCTGCACTGTGAGGTAGTGGTTGCCCTTTTGGTGTACAGAACTTGATACTCTTGCACAGCAATTTCCGGAACTCCCTGCACTGATTGTCTGTTTTATCTGGAGGGGATTTGAAATAGAAGCAACAAACACACCAAGTCAGCATTTTCTTGCAATAAAAGGTTGACAGAAGAGAAGAATCCAGCCAGCCTCCAGAGTTAAAGGTCACAGATAACCTAAAGAGGAAGAGAAAGTGAAAGGTGTCTCTTTTAAAGAGTAAGATGAGTTCCTGGTTTAGGTTTTTCATCTTGACCATCAAAGAATTGAGGCAGGAATTGATTTTCCACCCAACTTTGAACAGAAAAGTTGGAAGTAGACAAAGGTCTGCTTCTCGGCAGCACTACACCTTCCTGGGCTTAGTGTCTAGAGATCCAAAGGCACATTCCAAATCCTTTTTCTAGCCTTACTCTTCCAAGGCAAAACTTACTTGTATTGAATGCTGCTTAAATTGTTTCATTTCCAAGATCTGAGCAATTTGTTTTTCCACCAGATCACATTATTGAGGAACTACTGGAAAAGCAAAGTGAAGCAAGAATGGCTGAGTGGGAAATACAGCAACATTCCTTCGCAACACAGCTTGCCAGAGAAAAGCATGTATCCCATGGATGTCGACACATGGGGAGAAATCTTGGAAGCAGAACTTGAAAGATAAGAAACCAGTGCTGATTCTTGCAACTCAAAAACCTTTTGCCAATGACACACAAACTGTTTGGCAGTTGTCGAACTGATTTTGAGTGATTTTTAACTGATTTTCAACTGATGATGAAAGTTTCTCAAAAGAAGTTACAGGTGTCTTTTTTTTTATTTGCACTTTATCATATTAATTGTATGTAAAATTCTAAATAAGACTAATGTTCAGTTGTAATTTATATTTATAAATTTAATGCTCTGCTGTATTGTCAAAAATATGTTGATTGTATTTCAATTTGCACTTTTTTATTTGAAAGAGATGACTTTTATTTAAAAAAAGAAAGGTATGCTTGACTTGAAGTGTATCCTACCAGCAGCACATGAGAGCCCACAAAGGAAGGACAAATACAGACACTGGAAAGAAAAGAAGATGACAAGGTGGCCACCTCAGTATCAGCTGAACATTCCCAGTGACCATCTCAAGGGACAAAGTCCTCAAAAGGATCTCTGAACTTGCACCCCAGTTTTTGGCACCAACTTGAGAAACTGCTGCTGGTAAAAGAGGATGTACCTGTCACATTATCTAACATAAAAGTGACCACAAATTCAACTTATTGCAATTCTCTTTGACTATCATCTTTCCCTACCTTCTTTGCACTAAAGTAACTGGGGAAAATGCTGGGAAGGTCTCTGTTGCTCCAATTCCTGCAGAATTCAGTCACCAATGTGGCACCAATTTTCTATAGGAAGACTTCTACCATGGTTATGAAACTTGGTTATTTAACCCTTGCAGAATATCTGGTGAAAATATCCGGGCTCACAGGCTGTTTGTTTTAGCTGCTCATATCTACAGATCAAGCAAAAGACATAACAGCCAGGTGAAACAGGTAGCTCTAAAATGCTTCCAAGAACAGAATGTTGCCTGATCCTTTTTCTAGTTTAGAGCATTCAGCAGATTTCCTCAAAACTGATCCATGTCCCTCAGCTTCCTGCATGTTCCCCATTAGAACAGGTCTTCAGTCAATAAGCACTAGTACCTTTTCTGAATCATAAGTAACATATTTAAGTGAGAGCTGTCTCATCAACAGCACTGCATAACATGATGCAACTACTGGATAATGTTCTTTACACATCTTTTGCAATCTATTCTTTGTAGATAAGTGTTAGTTCTAGGAGCAGGACCCCATTGCACTAGGTTTTAAAGATCTCCTTTTAGTGCCAAAAGAGTTGATGCTGTTCTTGTGGGACAGTTACTGCATTAGCCAAAATGGATGCAGTACCCAAAATCCACTGAAGCTTCCGCTGTCACCCTGCTACCAAACATGACTGAGGTGTAGCTGTGGCTGTGCCTCTTAAACATGAGGAATTAAACACTTGGCTATGCAATTAGACAAGGCCTGGATCTTTAAACCTGCAGTAACAGTGTTGTAAGTTTCCCATAGAAAATCTGTTACTGAAAAAAAAACCACAAATGTTTAAGTACAAGTTCTCATAAAAACAAAGGTTATTTCCCCTCTCCACCTTGACTCTTTCCTTTAAGGGTTTTAATTCCCCCTGGAGATGTCATTACATCAGTTCTGGTTACCTGTTCTATTCCTCTCTACCACTGCACCACCTACTCAGCCTCTCTGCTTCTCTGCAGGATGGATGTGTCCTCTTCCCTTTAAAGACACCCCAGCAGCATCCATTGCTCCAGACAATGGCACTCCCTACACCAGCAGGTTTGGGCTCAGCTCTTTCCCTTCCTACCTGCCAACAGCAACCACTGAAAAGCCAGCAATAGGAAGATTGTAGCAGTGCCTAAATTAGCACTCGTACATGGGTATCCTTCCCTAGAGAGCATCCTCACCCCACCTGCACCCCAGGGCACACACCAGCTGCCCTCACACCTCGGTGGCTGGTGAAACCTTTTTTCTGCTCCAGTGCCCACCTCTTACCCACATGTTTTTGAGGAAGTGGAAAGTTCTGCTTTAGCAAACCCCACCGACCTTCCTACTGCATTGACACGCCACTTCTACCCTCCCACTCAGACCCTGTCAGCTGCAGGAAGGTCCCCGAGGCATCCATTGCCCAGGCTTCCCATCAGCCACCCGACCTTCCCGCTTCCCCAGCTTTCCTAGGACAGAGAGGCCCTTTGGAGAAAGCACGTGAAGCTTGTGTGGTGCAGAACAAATAGCAGATGTCCTCTTCCCACACACCCCAGCTGTGCAACATGGGCTTAAACCAGCCAGGCTTCTGTGGGGAAAATAGGTTTCCCTGCTGCACAGAATGTCCTGAGCTGCTGCACGCAGCTGGATGTCAAAAAGGCCAGTGCTGAAGTTCAACATGAGGTCAGTATTTTATTTCTGCATCTCCAAAAACCACCTGTGTTATAACCTTCTTTGCAACTACTCAGTATTGCAGTGCTCTGTTTCTGAAACAAGGAGCCACAGTGTGGCTTTATTTCATCACGGTGCAGGATGTGGCTTTGGGCCATTGCCATTAAAAACTAAATGAAAAAGCAAACATGAGATATTTAATCACCACAGACTTTTCTTCATTAGACCACTCAAATTTCAAGGGTAATTTTGTCAAGTGCTTGTGCCAATAGGCAGATACATGCAGATAGGTACATCCCTATGCTGGTCATCTTTGGAAGGTTCTGAGTAACAGAGTTATCGCAACTGAAGACAGAATAGTTGGGCTCAGGACTGGGATCAGCTGCTTCAGCTCACCAGGGCTGACAGAAAGGCAAGAAAAGCATACAGCTGGGAGGATTTGGGCAGTGGGGGAGGGTTTTTTATTTTCTCTCCAAATGAACTTGGGTTGAGGCATATCAGATTCCCAAGAGCGTGCTGACACTTCCCAGTTGTTTTTCACCATATCGCTCATTCAGAAAAGTCTGTCTCAAAAACCACAGAAGAATTCACCTGCTGCACTTAATACCACAAGTCAGCAGCAGCTTCTGATCAGCACAACGTTCAGAATTTGGGGTTGGGGGCAGATTGAGGCCTCAGTGCTAAGGGCAAGACCTACTTCTGCTATACCGGTAAACCAAAAAACCCAAGCTACAGCTGTGGGTAGAAAGGGAAGAAGGAGAGAGGTGATGGTCAGCAAACTTAGAGATCCCACAGGATCTACCAGGATGAAACCCAAGAGGACAATTCAATGTACGGCCACAGTGAGCTGCAGCCTCCCCTAACTCCTCAGAATGACCCTGTCCAGCACCACCACCCGTGTCCAGCAACTGTGGATTTACAAAGCCAGATGGGAATAAAAACCAGCCTGCTAGAGCATGCAAATTAGGTACAATATTAGCTTTTTTTTTACCCACATTTAAAAACGTTGTGAGCACAGCACATGCTCATTTTGATGCACTG